TCCTTGTTAATGCTCTGGTCTAGCCTCTCATTTCTTGATCTATAACAGTGACTTATGACCATTTTTCACACTTATGACTGTTGCAGCACTCCCACAGTTACGAGAGGCCAGCTGAGGAGATGCATGCCTCGATGTGAGTGATATTGAGTTGGCCACACCCAGCCAATAACATGACCACCAAGCCATGTCTGCTCAGTCACATGACCACCAAGCAACACCTACCACCTAAGCCACACCCACAGAACCAATTGTTAAATAATTTGAATCCCACCCCTGGCCTATTCTAAAAGGCTTACAACAATAAAAAATAAGAAATGTAGAGTGTGAACAGAACAGAAGATATTGAAACAATAAAATAAACACTGAAAGAGAACACCACGATAAATACAAGCAGCCTACAGGTGACTTTTTGGTAGTTCTTTCAGTGAATGTTCGAAGCTATTATGGCACTGAAAAAAGTGACTTATGACTGTTTTTCACACAACCATTGTAGTATCCCCATAGTCACGTGACCAAAATTCAGATGCTTGGCAACTGGCTCATATTTATGACGGTTGCTATGTCTTGGGGTCATGTGATCACCTTTTACAACCTTCTGATTAGCAAACTCAATGGGGAAGCCAGATTCACTTAACAACTGTTACTAACTTACAAACTGCAATGAATCACTTAACCAAGTATGGCAAGAAAGGTTGTAAAATCCACTTAACAACTGTCTCACTTAGCAACAGAAATTTTGGCCTCAATTGTGGTCCTACGTTGAGAACTACCTGTTGTCAACTCACAAAATATTTCTATGGTCTTTTTAGAGTTGCCAACAGAAAGGGAGGGCAGAGCAGCGCAGCAGCTTGCATTCCATACATGTTTTCAAAGACAGTTTCTAGGTGACTGAAGTTTCTGCCACGCAATATTCTAACTGGAGGGCATGATTGACGACTCTTGGCTATGGATGTGTCCCATTGGAGAATATGAATTATGATACACCCAGGGGGTGGGGGGAAAACCAGGGTTAAGGGTGACGATGAATGATGTTTCTCAGAGTCGGCTACACCCAGGCAGCGCCGGCATGTTAAACCCTGTTTAAGTTTTGGAAGTTCGTCTAGAGACTCATAATATATATGGGGGTAACTGCTGGAGCCCTGACACCTGTACAACTATAAGATTACCAAAAAAGAAAGATGGATAATGTTGGGTATATGGATACACCAACCAGGTTTGGGTTGAATAAATA